GAAATCGACGAGTTCCGTTACATAAATTTGTCGATACATAACCCACCCAATTTTTTTCTCCTCATTCTCAAATAAAAAAATAAAAAAAAAAAGAAAGTTTGTTTCTTCCACCGTAGCGCACAAAAAAAGAACCGAGGAAATATTCGTCGGATTTTATTTGAGATATCAAGTTCCCTCTCTTTTCACACGCACACACATATATATCCAAAAGTTCATTTTTTCCTCTTGTTGAGTCGCCGGCGATTCTTTTCTCCCCAGAAACGAAAAAGTTATATTGGTTCACCCTTTTTCTGTACACGACAAACGCTGAAGAAAAAAAAAAGATGGACATGTTTTCAAGAATCGTCATCTCCTTTCTTCTTCTCGCCGTAACGATACCTAGCCTCGTATTATCCTTTCCCAATGGAGCTGGTACCTGCGATGTATCGCAGATGCAGTCACAAGGTCACGGCTCTCCTTCTACATCGGGGGTTGGCGGTTTCTCTGTCTCGGTCAAAAATGCCACCACCGCTGGAAGCTATGTCATATCAATTAATGGTCCGAGTTCGATCGAAGGTGTGTTGATATATACTCAAGATTCCAAGGGTAATAGAATTGGCAATTTCGTGGTTCCAAGTAATCTCCAATCGAAAAGCTGTGGTGGATCCGGAACGAATTCCCTCACGCACACCGACCAGAATTCAAAGTCTATGCCCTTGAAATTGACTTGGTCCCCTATGTCGAATGGAACCATCACCGTCAAATCTCTTGTGGTGGTGAATAGTTATGCCAATTGGCATCAATTAAATGATGTTAATTTTGAAGCCGTCAGCTCCGGTAGCGTAATTTCTTCGTCGAATAATGGCAGCGGTGATAACAGCGATAGCGGTAACACTGGTGGTGGTGATGGCAGTGGGAGTAGCTTCTTCCAACAGTATTCGCTGTTCATCGTTGTGATCGTCATCACCGCTGCTCTTTATGTTATTGGGAGCCTCGTAGAGTCAGCATTGAGGAGGCAACAAGTTAAGGCGAGAGCATTCGCGAAGGCTGTCGGAGGATTTAATCAATGATCGCGCACATTACGCTGTGCGCATTCGGTTAACACTGTCATAATCGAATCATCCGTCGGCTCGATTTATATTAGAGATTGAATATTACTCGATGATTGGGGATTTAGTAGGGCGTAGAAGAATGGATAAAATAGGAGAGTAACAATTTCTTTATTTTAAACAAAAAAATTACCGACCATGTAAAAAGGAAAAAAAAAAAAAAAAAAAAAACCGAAAAAATGGGGCATTTTTATTTTTTTTTTTTTTTTTATTATAAATATTAATTTTTAATATAAAATATAACAAATATTCTTT